AGGAGCGGCGGGGCTGCATTCCCAGCACCCCGGGCCGCCTGCTTGGCTTGTGCCCCGAAATAATTACACGGACACTGTATTCTTTTAAACACTGCTTGGCCCATTTCTATCTAGCCTCTTCTAGGCTAATTCTCACATATTAATTTAGCCCATTTCTAATCATCTGTGTTGCACCCCAAGGTGCGCTTACCAGGAAGATTCTAGCCCACGTCCATCCTGGGTCGGAGCTGAATCACGTCTGTCTGGGAGAGGGGAGCATGGCGTCTCTGCTCCAGAGCAGAGCTGTCAAGTCTTTGCTCACTTCCTCTTCCTCCCAACATTCTGTTCTGTTTACTCCACCCACCTATGTTCTAACCAATAAAATGGGCCAAGGCAGTTTCTTTATTAGCCAATGACCTTCCTCCATCACAGACCCCAATAATCACACAGAAACTATATTAATTGCAACACTGTGTGGCCCATCTACACATTAGAGTACTACTCAGCGGTAAAAAACAATGACATCTTGAATTTTGCATGCAAATGGATGGAAGTGGAAAACACTATCCTGAGTGAAATAACCCAGACCCAAAAATATGAATATGGTATGTACTCACTCATTAGTGGATTCTAGCCATAAACAAAGGAGATTGAGCCTATAGTTCATGATCCTAGAGAAGCTAAGTGATAAGGTGAACCCAAAGAAAAACATATATAGATCCTCTTGGAAATTGGAAACAGACAAGATCACCAGGCAAAAGTTGGGAGTATGGGGGTGGGGGAGGTAGAGGGAAAGGGAGAAGGGGATAGACAGGGAAGAAGGGGAGGGTTGGAGAGAGCTTGGGGGAGTGGGATGGTTGAGATGGAGGAAGGATGAATATGGGAGCAGGGAAGGAGATATCTTAATTAAGGGAGCCATTTTGGAGCTGGCAAGAGACTTGGCTCTAGAGAGGTTCCCAGGAGTCCACAAGGATGACCCCAGCTAGGACCCTGGGCAATGGAGGAGAGGGTGCCTGAACTGGCTTTGCCACATAATCAGACAGATGACTATCTTAAATATCACCATAGAACCTTTGTCTGGCAACAGATGGAGACAGAGACAGAGACCCACATTGGAGCACTGGACTGAGCTCCCAAGGTCCAGTTGAAGAGCAGAAGGAGGGAGAATATGAGCAAGTAAGTCAGGACCATGAGGGGTTGGTCCACTCACTGAGACAGTGTGCCTGAGCTAATGGGAATTCACCAACTCCAGCTGGACTGGGAATGAACGAGCATGAGATCAAACTGGACCTTCTGAAAGTGGTTGACAATTGGGGCAGACTGAGGGGCCAATGATAATGGCGCTGGGATTTGTCCCTACTACATGTACTGGCTTTTTGGGGATCCTATTCTCCTTAAATGCATACCTTCCTAAGCCTGAATGTAGAGGGGAGGGGGTGGGGAGAGGGTGTGTGGGAGAGCAGGAGGAAAGTAGGAGGAGGGAAGAAGTGGGAATTTTGATTGGGATTATTTATAATGTAAGAAAAAAAAGAAAAAAATATAAGTGAAAGCAGCCATACCAAAAGAAGAAGAGGAAGAAGAAAAATTACAACACTGCATGCCAAGGGCTTAGGCGTATTCCTATCTAGCTCTTATATCTTGAGTTAACCCATTTCTATTCATCTGTGTATTACCACTAGGCTGAAGCTTACCAGACAAGGTTCTGGTGTCTTTCCCCTTCAGCGGCTACATGGTGCTTCCTAACTCTGCCTTCTTTCTCCCTGCATTCAATTTGGTTTTCTCTGCCTAGCTCTATTCTGCCTTGCCATAGCCCAAAGCAGCTTCTTTATTATCCAGTGGTCATACAGAGGGGAATCCCATGTCACCAAAAACCTTAATAAAACCAGTTAATAGTAGGCCTACGTGTCTAAGAGCAACCTTAACTAGATTCACACATTCCAGGGTAGGAGCATGAGGGTTAGAATTATAAAGAAAAAAGGAAGAGAAAAAAGAGAAATAAGAGATGAAACACAGAACAGAACAGCATGGGCAGGGAAATTCAATGAGCACTTGTAGGCAGAGGCTGCCTGTTCATTGTCGGCCGTCCAAACCCAAAATAATAACAGAAATTATATTAATTAAAGCACTCCTTGGCCTATAGTTTAAGCATTTTACATTCTTAATTAACCCATTCCTATTATTTTTATTTTACCATGAGGCTCGTGGTTTACTGGTAAGGTTCCAGTTGGCGGGTGTCTTTTTTCTTTCGGATACATGGTGTCCCCCTCCCACTGCCTTTTTTTCTCCTCAATCTACTTGGAATTCCTACCTTGTTCTATTCTGCCCCTGTCATGGGTCAAAGCAGCTTTACCCATTAACCAATACAAGCAACTCCATCAAAGTCCTCAGAAGGACATGATATTACCTAAGTTAACAGGAAGTGCATTGCAAGCAACTTCTAAAACTCTAGTATTGACAGAGACATCTCACTGCTTGGACTGTCACCCAAAGTTCTTTTGTAACATTGGGGTATCCATCTTCGGCCTACAGTCCCAACAGACATTTCCCTGAAACAGAAAATTTGAAGATAGATTTTGCCTCGTAATGGCAAAGTTCATCAGATGCTTTTTTCTGTATCCTGCAAAATTTCTGGCTGTTTTTCATGAAGTAAGATTCCTGAAGGATTGTCTCACATTTAGACAAGATTAGCAGTCATATTTTTGTGGGTCCTGTATGTCCAATTCATACAACATACCATCAAGCAGACCAGGCCAGAGCAGTTTCTTGCCTAAATGGTGACCAAACTCTTTAAGGAGCCTCTTCAATGCCCAACAACCTCTCTGAAGTAATTGGTGCTGTCAGAAGCAGACATGACTGACTGTAGAGGAAAAATCTAAGTTCTTAAAACATTTTTAATGTCATAATCTATATGTTTTTGAAAGATTTGAAAAATACCTATCCACCTGAAATAAATCTCTGCATATGGAGAAAACCTAACATGAATACAAGCTTGACTATTATAGATGACTATCTATTAACCTGTATTTATTAATTATACATTACATTTTAAATGAGCTGTACAAACACAATATCTTATTCAAAAGCAAAAATATGTATACAATAAAATTGGCCTTAAATTTGTATCAATAGACCAAGATTCATACCAATGTAAAGTATTCATCTCTTTAGCATATTCCTCTTTAAATGAAAACAAACATTTATAAACAGTATTTGCGAATTTGGGCATAGTTCTCTCCAAACTGCTTCCTGCTTTTTGTTGGGGAAAGTATTTTGGGGGCTTCACAGAGACCTCTCAGGGAAATCTTGGTTCATCAAATCACATTAGTCTGGAAAGAATCTACAGGTTTTCATCCTCTGTGGAAATAAAAGCAGAACTTCTTTTCCAAAGCAACATATCCTTAGACCCAAAAGTCAATATACTTTTAAAATAAATATGTTGGTTTAGCTTAGCAGCCCCAAGAATCAAATCTCTCTGTACTTATTCACAGTCAAAAAGTTCAAAGAAAACACAATATACATAATCCAGACTCTGTGTGTATTCCATCTTTATGTGGCTTATTTTTCTTAGTTTATTACTTTTTTTTTATTTTTTAAATTTATTTATTTATTAAGGATTTCTGCCTCGTCCCCACAACCGCTTCCCATTTCCCTCCCCCTCCCCCGATCAAGTCCCCCCCCCCCTCATCTGCTCGAAGAGCAATCAGGGTTCCCTGACCTGTGGGAAGCCCAAGGACTGCCCACCTCTATCCAGGTCTCCTAAGGTGAGCCTTCAAACTGCCTAGGCTCCCACAAAGCCAGTACGTGCAGTAGGATCAAAAACCCACTGCAATTGTTCTTGAATTCTCAGTATTCCTCATTGTCCGCTATGTTCAGCTAGTCCGGATTTATCCCATGCTTTTTCAGACCTAGGCCAGCTGGCCTTGGTGAGATCCCAATAGAACATCCCCAGTTTATTACTTTTTATACAAGCTTAATATTTATCTTTACTCCTATGACTATGTATCTATGACTGTACTCTTTATATTAGAACTGTCTATACTCTTTTTCTTCTCTCTCTCAAGCCTACGTACATTTTTTTATTAAACACTGTGACTCATTTAGAGGTCTTTTTCATCTGGATTTGTCTTTATTGCATGTGTATCTGTAATTATTTTTTGACCAGAAGTGCTTTTTTTTTAATGTTATGCAGGCATGCCTTGGATCAACTCTGCAGCCTTGCCTCCAGTACAATATGTTTGAGGCATGTTCACTGCCTCTGAGAGCCATGCAGACCACACCAGCTCCAGGGTCACAGCAGGTCTATGTCACCATTAAGCAATTCGTAACACACTGCTCACAGAACCCATCTAAGTGCTCAGCTTCCTGAAAGAGGCAGAGCTGTTCATGGAACTAGCAAACCAGGAAGCCCTCCCATACAGAAGACATACAACCTTCGCTGCTATTGCTGGGGCAGGGAGACCTCTCTTAAAGGAGCTGCAGTGCCCCTACTTGCCATGAGCAAATAGCCCTCTGAAAGAAAAATGTGACTGCCAAGAAACTATACTAAACTCTGTTTTTTTTTTTTTTGTGTCTAGAATTTTTTTAAGGCTTTCTTAGGTTTTATGTAAATGTAGTTGCCCACATTGGTGCCATTCTGTTGGCAGAGACTACTCATTCATTCCTGACCATCTGGACCTGAAATAATCACACAGAAACTATATTCATTAAAACACTGTTTGGCCAATACCATAAGCATATTAGTAGCTAGCTCTTACATCTTAAATTAACCCATTCCTATTATTTTGTATTTTACCACAAGGCTCATAATTAACTGGTAAGGTTCCAGCAGGCAGGCGTCTTTCTCCTTTGGGGGCTACATGGCATCTACCTGACTCAGCCTTCTTTTCTCCTCAATGTACCTGGAATTCCCACCATGCTGTATTCTACCCATCATAGGCCAAAGCAGCTTTATTCATTAACCAATAATAGCAACACATATACAGAAGGACTTCCCACACGAAGTATTGAACCACTGCCTTTATTTTCTACATTTATAAAACTCTACTCCAAAAAGGGAAGGGGGAAGCAACAGACTTCATTAGCATGGTAAAAGGAATAGACAGAGCATCTCTGACCTTTGGTCCTGGTGAAGCTGATACACCTCTGTACTCAAAATACGAATTAACCACCCTATGTCAGGACCTCTTGTTTTGTAGCCACTTGTCAACAACTTGAAAGAACAAAATAAGCTCAAATTCTCTGACCTCTAGACAAGTTGGAGTGGACTCACATCTAAGGACACTCACAGTTCCTCCCTTTCAATTTATTTTAATAAAGCCTGTGCTTCTGCTAAAAGACAGATGACTGTGCCTGGCTTCAGAGCCTTCTCCCCATTTTCCAGACTTACCTGTCACCGGTACATACATTCTATCATGTACAGTCTGTCTTAGATTGCATGGGGGAAAAATCGTACCCATCACTGACTACCAGCCTCTGTAAACAAAGGGTTAAGGAAGAGTGCATCTCTGGGCCCTGTGTACCTTTGAGCCAGTTTTCTGTCAAGAGAGTTCACCAGCCATTAGATAATGATATGCAAGCAGATAATTCTTTGTGATACTCCTATGGCTACAATAACATCTCCTAATAAAGGAGTGTAGAATGACCAAAGGTGGGGATCACCTTCTTAAACTGGTCTAGGATGTTGTTGTGCCAGTGTCACAACACCCCCAAACAAACCACCACAGAGCCGGAATTTGAAATAAACAAAAAGAGGTTTATTACAACCCCAAGCTTGGTCCACTGTCCAACACTCCAGTGCTTTGGATGGGGGAGAGCGGTCCTGAGCTTTTACAGGTCAGCATTTATATAGGAAAAAACCACAAGTGGGTCACAGCCTTGTCAGAGGGTCTTGGGGTAGCTGACATTTAACCTGATTCATTATGGCAAGGAGAAGCACAGAATTAAAGAGTAAAATAGATAAGAATACATCAGGTGTGGTTAGTAGCTGTCATTAGCCATGTAGTCAGTGACCAATCGTACCCTCATCAGTCATACCCAGGGTGTTCGACTCATTTCAGGAACTTGGGGAACTTGAGATCGTGGAGAGGGCATAAGAGGAGTGGTCTTAGTTTAGTTCAAATTTGACCCTCACAAAATCTTTAACAGTTTGTAGCTACAATCAAATTCCAAATTTGTTGTTTTAAACATGTCAAATCTAAGGACTTATATTAAAATTTTCTCAGACAAGCTCTAATCTTTTTCTAATCAGTAACATCTTCATAATAAACTACAAACATTAACAGGTCAATATCATAACTCTAGCATAAACACAGTTTGTCAAATCACGATTCTCTTAAGTCCGTTCTAATCAAAAGACAAAGTTTCTGTGATGGGTGAGCCATGAGTCCTTTTCTCTCCCACAGCTCCTATTGTGCCCTGTTTACACTCTTAGGGGATATTCCTGAGAGTCTCCACAGGGACATTCCCTAAAGACCCTACCACTCCCGATTAGCATCTCTGTAAGGAAGACGCCCTTATGATATCAGAGTCTGAGTGACACTCCTGGACATCCCGCTGCTGCCCTGTGCTGTGGAGATCCGGCAGCTTTGGGTCTATGGGTCAGGTCCCTGCACTGTGCTCCAGCAGATCATGGATGCTGGAACAGGCCAGACATAACTCTGGGTGGGGGCCTGGGCACCTGCAGGATGGGCCCAACAGATGGCAAATGGGGACATTCTCCCATAGTAACAATTTCGGGGTTGGCTCTCTTAAACCTGTGCTAACAGTGTTGTTTCAATTGTGCTGTCATGGCGAGGTGTAGGACCTGCTCTCCGGAGTGCTGCAGCTGGTGGGGGTCAGGACAGGTCTCCTGCTCTTGTGACCACAGGGTCAGCTCTCCCACCTGCCCCAGGCATTGATGGGCAGAGGAGGGATTCTCTCCTCAGCTGATGCTGCTATGTGGCAAATGAGGGGTGGGGCTAGGTGTCCCATGCTCAGGTCCTCAGGGTGGGCTCACCTGTGCTCTCACCAACAGGGTCACCTCTGCTGCACTGCCCAGACAAAGTGCAGGGCTCACTTTCCAGTGTGTTGCTGCTGGTCAAGGGGTCAGCTACCCCACCATCTCAGCCTGATCTCTTCCTTCCTCATCTCTTCAGATAGTCTTCTGTCCACAGGACCTGAATATCTCTCTCTCTCTCTCTCTCTCTCTCTCTCTCTCTCTCTCTCTGTCACAGACACACACATACACACACTCAAGACACCATACGATACCTCTGCTCACTCTCACAGTGGCCTTCTGGCTGCTGCTGGATGGGTCTGGGAGTGGCCCATGTTTTCTTTTTAGACACCGGGGTGTTTTTAGTCTTTAACTTTAAAGCTGAAAATACATTAAATTTTTATAAATGTATTTACCAATTTAAAGTCGAAGCCTGTTTTAAAAATCAGATATGGCTTACTATATTGCATTGTTTTTATCTAGTTTCAATCTTTGTGTTTTCAATATTTTCACAGCATTTGTCAAATGCACATTATTTTCCCAGTTTTTTCTTCAACTTTTCTGTCAGCCTCAGAGTCACAGTGAGCTTCAGTGCCCACTGGTAATCTTTTTGCCAGCATTTTCTGAAACTATAGGACAAGAGATTTGTTGCATGTTTATTTTTCTTCTTTTCCTGAAGAGCCTCGACTAGGTTTTGCTTTCCTATCAGCAGTGAATGAACCTAGGACCTTATGCATCCCATTCAGCTATTGAGCTACATCCTGATAGGGGTAGAACGATCAGGACACGACAGAATATACAGATGTTTCCTTGCTCTGGATGCCAAGCAGAGCAATAGGTTGCAGAAAATGCCCCGTTCAACTGAACGGGGGTTAATGCCAAACACAATGCTTCTTTCCAGGCCTGAGAATCGACGGATGCTGTCAAACATGTCAAGAGGATAGACAAATGCATCCTCCATCTGAGACACTCTCCTCTTCCTCATTTCTCTCAGGAACTGATCTTTATACGTATTTGTTTCCTCTTCCGTGCTGAAAAGCACAGCGATATCTTGGGGAGAGTAGCCATTCCTCAAGAAAGAATTGCACTTATTTGCTACATAGTTCACCATCTCTCTCAAGTTCAAGTGTATGATATCAAAGCTGCCAGGTACACCATGAGTCCAGGTAAATTCATTGAGCATCTCCAGGGACTCAGGAGGGATCGTGCATGGAGGGTTATTTTTGATTTCCTGTAACTTCTTCTGTAAGAACTCAGCTATTTTATCTGCATTGCGTACCACTCTTGTGAGCTCTTCCTTTGGATATTGGCGTGAGAAACATGGGAGGCCACTCTCTTGCCTGTGGCTGGTCTGAAAATAGTCTAGAAAGATCCAGAGAATTCCGGGACAATCTTTCTCTCTCTGAGTGATGAGCTTTGCCTTCTTATACCAGTCCCCATCTTCAGTGCGGAAATTCTGGGCTTCGTCAACAATGATGTGTTGGATCATGTCTGTCTCAAACGCCATGAAAGTTTTCCGGGTCACTGCCTGGCAAATATTTTTTGCCCTGTAACAGTGAAAAGGACATTAGGTGTTTCTCTAACAGCATCAATGCCCTGTGACACAGCACTGCTGTTATAGGTCTTTGTACTGTCTAATTCCCAAGAATCAGGGTCACTTAAGAGAAACATTCAAGGCCAGGCGGTGGTGGCGCACGCCTTTAATCCCAGTACGGGAGGCAGAGGCAGGCGGATCTCTGTGAGTTTGAGGCCAGCCTGGTCAAGAAGAGCTAGTTCCAGGACAGGAACCAAAACACTACAGAGAAACCCTGTCTCGGGAAAAAAAGAAAAAGAAAAAAAATATTCAATACCAGACTGATAACACACAGATGTAAGATCCAACACTTACCTGATAAAGTCCCTCAAGCGTTGATTTTCACAGATGTAGAGAATTCTATCTGTTTCACAGTGAAATGTGTTTCTGATCTTTTCCATGATCTTGATGGCCATGACTGTCTTGCCTGACCCTGGTAAGCCATGCACAAACAGTTCCTTGTTTTTGCGGAGATTTTTTGAGAATATTTCATACTGTTGGGCTGTGAGAAGATTCAAAATTTCACAGCCAAGCTGGTCACTCAAGAAAGATCTGAAGTTGAGCAAGACAATCACAAGCGCCTGCAGCAAGGCTTCCGTTTCCTGGGTGTTTGCAAGGTTATAGGAGCGTGGGTAATCTATAGGAGAGGCTGACCTCTCACTGGTATCTTCATTGCTCTCGGATTCCAGGCAGAGAACCTTGGTCATGACGCACACCCTCCCAGTATAGCCACCAGTGTTCACTAGCTTCTGCTTGAGAGTAAAGGCAGTGTGGGTACAGTAGTCCTGTGCCCCCTCATCCTGCTGCCCAAGGATGGTGTAGAGGGTGGGAGGGCTATTCTCTGCAATCAGCAGGGCATCACAGATGACTCCCTGCCTCTCCTCCAAGTTCAGGTCCACAGCCCAGCTTCTAGAGAGGATCAGTAGACCACAGGGGACAGAGTGCATTTGCTGGATTAATAAGTCCTCCAGTCCCTTATTCTGTGAGCACAGCTCCTTCCAGAGGGATTCCGGAGTATATTTCAAACATCCTGGTGACACTGGACATGGGAAGAATAAACAAGATTTCAAATAAGTGTTTGTATATTCTTCTATGACTCATATATTATGTTTTTTCCCATATATTATGTTTAAAACAGAGAATTAAGTAGATGACCAACACAAAATAAACTCAATGGTATTTCTTGAATTTTTTTCCCCTCATATACTTTGTCTGGGTATATTTCTTACCTTACAGGTCTTTTGTTTATGTTTTCTGATTTTGTGTTCTTATAGTTTGTGTGTGTGTATATGTGTGTGTGTTTCTTGTTCTTTTTCTTTGGTTCTTATTTTCTGGGTTTTTTTTTTTCCTATTCTGCTTTGTTTGTTTCAGTTGCCTATTTGTTTACAATGGGAGAGAGAGGGGAAAGAATGTGGATTTTAGGGTGGGGGAGGAGTTGAGGAGCTGGGAGGAGCAAGGGGAGGAAAAATGTGATCAGAATATATTGTATGAAAAATTGTTTCAACAAAAATTAAGGTTATAAAACATTTTCAAATCCAAAGAGAACAAAGCTCCTATGTGCAATACAGCTTAAGGGAAATTCCGTCTGTCTACATCCCCTGCAGCTCATATTCCACCAAGCTGATGAAATGATGTGGCTCTCCCACTATCTTACAGAAAATTCAGTGCCAACCAAAGTGGAAGTTACTGAGCCCAAGGTTGTGTAGAAAAGAAATCTGTGCAGTTATTGTTACATTAGATTCTTCTACTATGGCTGTACTGGTTCAGTGAGTTCTGAACCCTTGAGAAGTTGAATCAAATGCATATGTTCAAGCCCTGGAAATGCTGTTTAAATTCCTGGTGGGGGCCTTGATCTTAGCATATTTAGCTATCAGAGTTTGCTAGTACCATGCTCGATGACTTCATAGTACCTGCCCCTCATTCCCAAGAGGTTTGTAGTGTTTTTACATCATAAACTTGGTGCTGCACAAGGCATTCTCTTTGATTTCTTTTTTAGCAAAGGTGTTAAATGATTTGTCTCTTTCTCCTAATGGAAAAACTAGCTGTTCATACCTGGAAATAAACACTTTTGGAGGTCGACTTTATGCTCCAGTCCTTTCTTCGAATACACTGGTCTGCAGCGTGGAGGGCTGTCGGAGAGACTCAGCTGACACTCAAAATCTTCACACAGGGTACCGAGGGAAGACGACTGATTGGAAGCTGCCTCTGTGTGACACAGTGAATGAAACCCGTCAGAATAACAAAGCACAGGCTCTATTCCAAAGGGGAAGAATTGGAAGAAGAATAGAACCACAGAGAAGGGAAGCTGAAGCTTGATCCAGAAGGTAATATAAACAACCCTGGTGAAGAGACTGCTAGTCCCAACCACATGTCAAAATCAGAATCCTTGAAAGCTTCAAGTCCAATTGAAGGTTCTGAGGAGGCAGTGACTCCTCTGACATCATGGATAAACAGTGGAGAGGAGGTCGACTTTGTCACTTCACTGGGTGCTAGTGGGTGAGAACCCACTGGTTAGCACTGAGCTACCCTGGGGTCCTGATAACAAGAAACAATATCAGATAAGGGATCCTGGTGTTGGCCTGCCTCAGTTCAGGGGTAGGAGACAGCTGTGGAAGGTAAGCATGGGGCAAGGAAGGCCTGGGCACCAACATGACAAAAAGTTCAGGTAGTAGGAGGCTGGACTCAGAAAAGGAAGCCTGGGACTGGAGGGATGGCTCAGAGGTCAAGAGCACAAGCTGGGAGGCAGAGGCAGGCAGATCTTTGTGAGTTTGATGTCAGCCTGGTCTACAGAGCAGGTTCCAGGACAGCCAGGGCTATTGCACAGAGAAACCCTGTCTCGAAAAAGAAAAAGAGAAAAAAAGAAATAATAATCTTTTGTTTCTCATTACCCAAATTAAATCCAACTATAAACCACCAGAGAAAATCTATAAAACTTTATAAACACACGGAGATTAAACAATAAATACCAGCATGTCATTGATGAAACCAGTGTAATGGTCTGCTCTGTCCCTTTAAGAGACAAGCCATGCCCACTCACGCCCCCCCACCCCCATCTGACAATGCAAGCTGATCTTCAGCTTCCAGCCTGAGTTATTTCCTCTCTCTCTCTCTCTCTCTCTCTCTCTCTCTCTCTTCTATCTACTTCTCCCCTTTCCCCCTCCTGTTTTTCGCTCTCTCTGCTCTTCTCCCCTTCTCCCTTTTCCCATCCATAACTCACTAAACAAATATCCAATCTCACCCTGCATTGCGTGCCTATCCATGTCTCTGTCTTTCAGCTGCTATATGGCTCCCTGCCAGGGACCAGCTGCCTTTTGAGACCTGTGGCATGGTCTCATGGTGTGCCCACCCATCTGTATCTCCACATGGGACTTGCTGACTCTCATGGCCCACTGCAGCCACTTGGGGAATAGCATTGTCCCTGCCTGGGACTGGTTGCTCTTGGGACCCACTGCCCACTAATGCTGTTTTTGGACCTGCAGCCTCTGCTGCCACTTGGGGATCCACAGATAAAAGTCCTGCCTCCAAAATCGAGGGTTCACTCTCATTCAAGGCAAGCGTACAAATAGAAAAGAAGTCAGTCGTCCCCATTTGCAGATGATCTGACCCTAAACATAAAGACCTTAAAGACTCTACCAGTGAGCTCTTATATTTGATAACTTTCAGCAAGGTAGCAGGATATAAAAACACACAGAAAAACCCAGCAGCTTTTCTGTATACCAGTAACAAACTTGCCGAGAAACAGATCTAGAAAATCTTATTAAAGACTCCATCAGAAAAATCCCTGGGAACATACCTAACCAAGGAGGCAAGAGTCCTCTACGATGAAAACTTTTAAACACTGAGGCAGAAGCAGTAACCGGAAGAAAAGGCCCCTATGGAAATGGCGGTCACTAAACTTGGTCTAATGAGTCAACACAAGTCCTACCAAATTCCAATTATGCTTTTCACAGAACTAAGAAAAAAGTTCTGATATTCATATAGAAGCACAAAAAACTGGTTAGCCAAAGAAGACTTAGCAAAAAAGAGCAATTAGGTCCAAACAAATGGGCCACATCTAATGCGGGTTCCTGACTCGCAGAATTGGTAACATGCTAAACTTTGGTACCAGATGATCATTGTTAGAGGGCCCAGCAAGTAACAGTGCAAATAGTTTAAATAACGTGTGTAAATACGAACTCCATATTCACGGTGCTGGTGAGATGGCTCAGTGGGTAAAGGTGCTGTGGTGGTTTAAAGAAAATGATCCCAAAGGGAGTGGCACTTCTGGGAAGTGTGGCCTTGTTGGAGTAGGTGTAATCTTGATAGGGGAAGTGTGTCACTGTGGAGGCAGGCTTTGAGGTCTCATATATGCTCAAGATACCACCCAGTCTCTCAGATCATTTCCTGTTGCCTATAACATGTGGGACTCTCAGTTATTTCTCCAGTACAATATCTGCCTGCATGTTGCTATGTCCCACCATGATGATAATGGACTGAACCTCTGAAACTATAAGCGAGTCACCACAATTAAATGTTTTCTTTTATAAGAGTTGTCATGGTCCAAGGCTTATCTATTGCATTCCAGATGTGTTGACCCCTGGGATTTCCCCAAATGTGAGACTCTCGACAGCATCCTCGCACTTTTTTCTAAATAAGAAATTAATAATTAAAAAAAAGAGTTACCATGGTCATGGTGTCTCTTCACAACAATAGAAACCCTAACTAAACAGGTGCCTGCCTCCAGGCCTAATGACCTGAGTTTGCTCTGGCACGCACTTGGTGGAAGGAGAAGTGACTCATGTTGGTCTCTGACCTCCATGTGTGAACTGTGGCATCTGCATATGTGTGCCAAAAAAGAAGTCCGTATTCAGCCGGGTGGTGGTGGCACACATCTTTAATCCCAGCACTCGGGAGGCAACAGCCTGGTCTACAAAGTGAGGTCTAGGATAGCCAGGACTTTTAGACAAAGAAACCCTTTCTCAAAAAAACAATCAAACAAAAAAAAAAAATCGATATTCAATTTTTTTTTTTTTTTTTTTGGTTTTTTGAGACAGGGTTTCTCTGTGGCTTTGGAGCCTGTCCTGGAACTAGCTCTGTAGACCAGGCTGGTCTCGAACTCACAGAGATCCGCCTGCTTCTGCCTCCCGAGTGCTGGGATTAAAGGCGTACGCCACTATCCACTTACTATATATACAGTGTTCTGCCTACATGTATACATACATGCCAGAAGAGGGCACCAAGTCTCATTATAGATCATGCTGGGAATTTAACGAAGGCCCTCTAAAAAGAGCAGCCAGTGCTCTTAACCTCTGAGCCATCTCTCCAGACCTACAAATTTTTTACATCTGGAAAAGCATAAAGATTCAACTCCAGTAGGTATAATGAACTCAGATTTTAGGAGTGTGAAGGAACTCAAAAGAGGCAGAAAGCACAGAGCAGAAAGAACTCTCCCCTCTTACCTGGATCAGCATCCATCATCATGCCTACCCATTCCTTAGTAGTCAGTGTGTAGATGACATTTTTCTCCCTGTCTGCCATCCATGAAATGGGAGCTTTTGAGAACACTGCACAGCAGAAAGCCTCCACTTTGATCGCACAGAGATAACCACGCAAATTCCCCTCGTGAAACACATCTATGACTCTGGTCTTGTGAGACACTTTTTCTTCAGATGACGAAAAATGAAAAACTGGCAACTTAGATATTGCTTCATTTGCCACTCTTTCCAAAGAGTCACGGGTAACATAGTCTTTTGGGCATCCCAGGACCTTCCTGCTCTTGTCCTCCACGCCAATGAAAAGGTAGCCTCCCCTGGTGTTTGCAAATGCAGGGACATACTCTGGAATTATATTTTTAATGTAGTCTTGGGCACTTTTTGTAGCAAATTGTTTAAACTCTACTTGTATAGATTCAGGAAAAGGCAAGATTTGACCATATTCGAGTTTCTCGCTTTGGAAAATTTCAAAAGCAGGATTTATTTCAAGGCTGTTCTGACGCATAACTCTGGGAATTTTAACAGGTGGAGCTCCTCCATCAGTCAGGCCACATCCGACACTCTTCTTACGTTTTAGATATACAAATGCATCTGTCGAACTCATGGGAATCACTGATGTTCCAGATCTACGGTACAAGGAAGAGTTTTGGCTGCAAATGCGAGGTTTAGCAGAACCGTTTTCAGGGTCACAGCTCCAAGATTTAACAAAAATGTAAAAATGGTTCCTTCGTTGCCGGGTCTCAAAGAAAGACTGCCAATCAGAAGACTGGATAAGCTCTCTCAAAGACTGTTCCAAATCCAGTCCCATCTCCACAGGCTGCTCACTCTTGTTGGCCATTTGTATCTCAATCACTCCTCCTCCGGAGTTTAACAGAGCACAGACAGCCTCTGTAACTCTTGTCTTCTCCAGCTTTCTCTTCTTCGAGTCCATTTTATTTCGATTTTCTTCCCCGAGAGTCACGTCTTTTATGCGGATGACCAAGTCTGGGTGAGACTTTATCACCTCTAAGGAGGGATTTCTTTCCATGTTGGTCCTACAGTCAAACAATCCAAACACTTGTTTTACTTTTATTAAGATTAATTCTCTCATGGACACAATTCATTCATCTACTTACTGAAAATATTAATCTAAGCCAAATATATTCTGTCAAAGCAGTAAAATATTAAGTAAGATAAAAACAGTCCTTTCAGTGGCTGGAGAGATGGCTCAGAGGTTAAGAGCATTGCCTCCTCTTCCAAAGGTCCTGAGTTCAATTCCCAGCAACCACATGGTGGCTCACAACCATCTGTAACGGGGTCTGGTGCCCTCTTCTGGCCTGCAGGCATACACACAGACAGAATATTGTATACATAATAAATAAATAGATATTTTTAAAAAAAGGAAGCAGAACATGCAGGAGGAGAGGTAAAAGTCACGAGCCACATGGCAACACACAGATGAATAGAAACGGGTTAAATTAAGTTGTAAGAGCTAGTTAGAAACAAGCAAAGGCCGAACATTCACAATTAATAAGAATTCTCCATGTTGTTATTCGGGAGCTACCTTCTGGGACAGAGAAAGTCTCTTTACAACATATTATTGTTATATTTATCTGGTTACTTAAAATGCCTGTTAGCATGTGTGCTTGCTAACAGAGCAGGGATCATCTACCTTATTACAACTCTTAGTATAAGGATTAAATAATTCACCAATCACTTAACACTATGCTCAGGCTCACAGAAGTCCAGTAAGCAAAGCTATACTAATTGTCATTAAGTCACATGGGCAGAGGAATGAATGCCAGGCATAGTAATAATGTTATCAAATGTAGACAATCAGTCATTAGATAAACTTACTAAAGAAGAGAGGTGCAGATGTGGATGGAGGAAGAGAGGTTGAAGTTTGGTTTTTCTTTAAGATGGGAAAGGCTTGACAATATTTACCATGGATGAGAGAAAGGCAGTGGGGAGCTGAGACCTTAAAGAAGGAAGAGGAGACTGAGTGACTGAAACAATAGGATCCTGAGAGTCAAGGTCTGGACAAGATCGTGGGTCAGATTCTGGAAGAAGGTAAAGAGGAGAAAAGAAAAACATTGGCAGTGAGGTTAGGTTTATAGCTGTGGGGGAGGCAGAAGGGAGAGTCTTCCAATGCCTTCCCTTTTCCTCTTCAGCTAGGGAACAAAGTCACCCGTCTGGAAAGAGCCCTTTGCGGAAAAAGCAGAAGGAGAAATGTAGACAGAATGGGAGAAGTGTGAAGAGACATCACAGCGATATGGGGACAAAGGGTGTGCGCACAGGGAGATACTGCAGAGAAAACGAGGAGCCATGTGTCTTGTTACTCCCCTGCCACGGTGATAAAAATGCCTAAAGGCCACTTCAGGAAGGCAGGGATCCAAGTAGGCATCACCAGAGCCAGGGAGCCAAGGGAGCTGGAGTTTACAGGACTTGGGCACAGTATAGCCACCCATGGTCAGAAAGACCAAGGAATGCATGTGCTCAGCCAGGGGGCTCCTCTAGGAACCATAGTCTGGAAATGGTGCCACCCTCCTTTAGAAAGGGTCTTCTTAATTAACTCATTCAACATAGTCACTCACAGATATGCCTAAAGATTGAATAATTCAGCTCTAGAGAACAGAGTTTTTAGGAATTAAAATCTTAAAAATGTCATATGACACAAAATAAAACTTATACTGGTACTGGCTATTTTGGGGAACCAGAACAGAAAGGAAATAGGGCTGTACAGCAAGTGTCATTCGGGAAATTGAAATCACAGGGTCCTTGGCTCTTATCCAATAGCTTCTAGATGATAAACTCTGGGTTAGATAGCAATGGTTCTATTTCTTCCTCTTAGCGCCTCAGTTAAGGAAGTATCTTACAGGGGTGGCTCAGTCGCGTCTGCAGAATCTTTCAACACAATAATTTCAAAAGCTGCAACGGGGGGGGGGGGGGGGGGGAGGGTCTGAGGCACTTGCACTAACTTACACCCGCTTACAGTGACAGGCTCTGCCAGCACAGAATCCTGCTGCTGAGTGTGGCACCTGTGTGTATGTGGGCATGTGGTCCTGCCCCACCCCCACCCGCCCCTCATTCCTCTGCCCTCTCCCCGTCCCCTGTGATAGCCTGGCCAGGCTCACACCCACCCCAATCATCTATAACTCTCATGCTTTTTACCGAACTTGCTGCTGAGCCTGATAAAATACCTGGGCCTTCAGGCAGGAGAGACACACAGATGTCACCTTGGCTTCTGGGCTGCTCAGGCCACCCAGGTCCCGGATTTGGCGGGCTAGACTTCGGTGGTGGCGGTACAGAGCTGCAGGGCTCTAAGCCTTACAATTGCAGGTCTAGCGCTTTGGCCACGCTGTCACTAAGGTCCCGCCTTTCCTTTCCAATGGTTGGCTCCGCTCCTTGCCAAAGGCGCGGAAACGAAGAGACCAATAGGAAGTCAGCACTCGGGAGGCAGAGGCAGGCGGATCTCTGTGAGTTCGAGACCAGCCTGGTCTACAAGAGCTAGTTCCAGGACAGGCTCCAAAACCACAGAGAAACCCTGTCTCGAAAAAACCAAAAAAAAAAAAAAAAAAAAAAAAAAAGGAAGTCTACTAAATACCGGGAAACTTGAAACTCAGAATGTGTTTAATGAACTAACATCCTAAACTTTAAACACATAGAGCTTTCGAATTGTTCCTGGTGTTTTGGTTCCCCCTTTGGTCTCAGCCGCCATTCTTCCTCCTCCTTGCTTTTTCTCTCTCCCAGCGCTCTGTCACCTGCCCAGCGGTCGAATCTACCAATCAATCTATCGAATCTAATCAAATGTTATGAGTTATACAAAACGGGATAGAACTCATTCAAGAGGAGAAAAGCTCTTCCCCGGTCCTCCCCTCTGCCTCCCGCTTCCCTCCGACCCTGTCCCAGCCCTTACCGCTTCTGATCTGCCGGAAAGGTCTCAGTTCTCTTGCTCCTCCTGTTCCCCTGGCCGCCTCGGAAAGGAGAACTAGAAAACCGGCACGAACCTTTTCCCTCCAGAACTCGGTCTCTGGCACAAGTCCTGCTTGTCGAGTGGTGTTCCAGTCATAGATTGGGCAGCTGCCTGTAAGGCCAGTGGAGCAGCGCTCGCTCCCCCGTGGGTTTGGCGGTGGACGCAGCCAACTGTTTAAAGCAACCCTTCTACCTCCCAATACCTTGCTTGCTTTGTGGGAAAACGAAACTGTAGAACTCTTTCTAGTCCGGGAGCGGGGGGGGGGGGGGGGGGGGGGGGGGTCTTTGGCACGCTGCCAGGTTAAGCTCACTGTTGGATTGGACTGTCCAGCTGCTCTTCTCTCTTCAGCTAAGCCCTCCTCCTGGGCCCTGGGTGGAATCCTCACTGCCTGCCTGCCTGCCTGGCCCAGGGGATTGCAGCCCTGAGCTGCTGCCTCTGCCTGAGGACTGAGTTCTCTGCTGTGGAAAACCCGGGGCAGGAGCGCAGATTCACGCTGGTCTAGAAGGAGAGTGAGAGTGGAGTTTTTATCAGGATCTCAGCCCCGGCCTCAGGGGAAAACAAACCATCCTTAACCCTTCATACTTGCAGATCTTTGTATGTCGTGTGTTATTAATGCGCGTACACTTATCACACATGGTCAACACAGCCGCATCATGATATGCGTTGCAGTTCATAACCTGTTTTTCCACAGTTACAAACTTTCCATTTCAGTACATCTTCATACCAACTTATTCAAGGTTTTCTTTAAAATGCTTATTTTCCAGACTGTTTGTATAATCAAGGACCATGAATCTACAGTGTAGAGTATATATTATATTTGCCTTTCTGGGTCTGGGTTACCTCACTCAATATGATGTCTTCTAGATTCACCCATTTGCCTGCAAATTTCAAGATGACTTTTCTTTTTCTGCTGTGTAGTACTCCTCCCTGCTCTTCCTCTCTCCCAGCGCTCAGTCACCTGCCCAGCAGTCGCATCTACCAATCAATCTACTTATGGAATCTAATCAAATGCTGTAAGAGTGACACAAGACGGGATAGAACTCATTCAAGAGGAGAAAAGCTCTTCCTATGTCCTTCCCTCTGCCTCCTGCTTCCCTCCGACCCTGTCCTGTGAAGTTCGCTCCTGGGTAAATGTATCACATATTTCTTATCCATTCTTTGGTCGAGGGGCATTTAGGTTGTTTCCAGGTTCTGACTATGACAAATAATGCTATGAACATAGTTGAGCATATGTCCTTTGGGTATATACCCAAAAGTGGTATTGCTGAATCTTGAGGTAGTTTTTTTCCCTAAATTTCTCAGAAATTGCCATATTGATACCAAAAGTGGCTGTACCAGTTTGCACTCCCACCAGCAATGCAGGAAGGTTCCCTTTACCTCACGTCCTCTCCAGCATAAGCTGCCATCAGTGATTTTGATCTTGGTTATTCTTACAGGTGTAAGATGGAATCTCAGAGTTATTTTGATTTGCATTTCTCTGATGACTAAGGATGTCGAGCATTTCCTTAAGTGTCTTTCAGCCATTTTGCTGCACAAAACCTGGCAAAGGTTTTTAGTCATTATTTTTCCGTCTTTAATTGGATTTCTAAACTATGGTCCATAGGAATGTCTCTGAGAATGTTTTTGTTGGTTGTACTGGGAAGCATTAAACCTAAAGAATAATTTGCTACTCCTCATCTGCTTTGAAGACTGATGTGCATAACCTAAAATTACAAAATAAAAAGGAGGAAATATAAGGAACCATGGAGTTGGCCTGGCCTAGCTGCCTTGAGAGGCATATGTCTTAGGTTTTTCATGTTGGAGTGTATTGCTTCTGATTGCACAATGTCCCTTCCAGTTCCTGAGAGACCAAGGCACTCCCTCTGGCTATGAAGCATTCATGCTGCTTGGTACTTTTCTCTGTGTTCCCTTAGAAGTCAAGGAAGCATGGAAGCTCGACAGGACGATTGGTCTTAGACCTTAATCTTGTCTACCTGTAATGTTTGCCAGCACCATGTATCCTGGCAACTACAAACTGATTTTGATCCTGGCACTTGTCACCAAATTCTGCTACTGATGAGGGTGTCTCAATAAAATTGTTACAGCCTCAGGCTTTCTGTGGCCCCTCCAACTACCCTGGCTTAATTCCTTGACACCATATCAGGTGACATTGTCCCGGTACAGACAGCTCTCAGATGTTGTAGGCGGCTCCTTGCTTGTTCCTGCTCAGCCCTGAAGTAATCACACAGAAGCCATATTATTTGCAATACTGTTTGGCCAATAGCTTAAGCGTATTTCTAGCTAACTCATATCTTAAAAAGCTGAAAATGTGCAGCGTTGGGAAATGAGTCAGCAGGTGCACCTGTGGACCTGTGCACCCGGACACAAGTTTGGGTTTGCTGGGTCAAGTAAGGTTCAAGACCTCGGGCACCATCTCCTACTGAGGACTGAGCAGCTCAGGAGCACGGCAGTGATGGAAAACACTAGAAGACAGCAGGATGCATGGGGCATCACTTCAGTGAGTCCAGGAGTGAGGCAGATGAGGCAGAACTCAAAGCTCTGTAGGCCTGAAGTTGGTGATGGAGAGAGATCTACATCCGGGTCCTAAGGGCCCCTCCCTCCCTTTCCATCCTCTGCTCTCCTATTGCTCTCTCAGTCTCTTCTCTCTGGACCTCTGCTGTAGCTGTCTCTGCTCTCCTCTGCTCTGGCCCTCCCCTCTGCTGTAGCTGTCTCTGCTCTCCTCTGCCCTGCCCCCTCACTTCTTACACGTTGGGTCAAAGTCCCCAAATTCAGGCAGAGAGCAGGAGGAAGAGGAAGAAGGGGTAGGTAAAAAGAGGAAGGAAGGGGATGTTTTCCCCTTGTAATAAAGCACCTGCTTTCTCTGTGCTGGTGCCTTAAAGACAGGATTTTTTTTTAATTTTTTTTTTTATTTTTTATTTTTAGAGGCAGGCTTTTGAGTCTGTCCTGGAACTAGCTCTTGTAGACCAGCCTGGCCTCAAACTCACAGAGATCTGCCTGCCTCTACCTCCTGAGTGCTGAGATTAAAGGCATGTGCCACCACCGCCTGACAGCAAACTTTTTTTAAAACTTACTTTATTGAAAAAATTTTCATACAATAGATTTGGATGTTTTCCCCTGCACAGACCTACCCACCCAACTTTATGTACTCTCTCTCTCAATCTCTCAATCTCTCTTTCTCCAAAACAAAACAAAACAAGCACACATAGAAAATTTATTTCTTCACGTTTAATGTTTAAAACTGAACTTTGACAAATGAATATTGAAACTTTGGTCCATATACATAATGGAACTTTTTCAGCCACAAAAAATTGAAATTATAAAAACATCAGGAAGTTGACTTGTGTAATTGAAATTATCTGGCGTGAGTGAGAAGAAAACATGGAACACGCAACAAACCTGCTTAGGAGTTTACTGGTGGTAGTGTACAAGCCTGTTAAGGTCGGTGTGCAGAGAGAGAGAGAGAGAGAGAGAGAGAGAGAGAAAGAGAGAGAGAGAGAGAAAGAGAGACAGAGAGAGACAGAGAACCGAAGATGGCGCGTCCAGCTTTCAAGGGTTGCCTAGTGTATGTGCACAGGGGAATGACGTGGTTACATCATACTCAGATGCTGAAGCTCACGCATGAGCATAAGGGCTCACAGAGCTGCATCATATGTGGGTGATGTAACCATGCCACATGTGGGTCATGCTTGAAGACTTGTCCACACATATGTGGCCCTGGAACCCGGAAGTGTCAGCCATATTGTGGCTGAATCATAACATTCCACCCTTTTGTTTATTATAAAAATTTGGGGCTTTTGGGGTCTTTAATGGGTGGGAATGGGACCTTGTAAGGTCTCTTATGACTGCTTCCTGCTGATTTTGTAGGGGTTGTCAGGTCTCTCAAGACTGCTTTTGGCTGATTTTGTGGGGATTGGAGAGTTGAGATGCTTGATCACATCCTGGGGTGGCTGATTACTTTTGTGTTTTTTCCAGGCTCTGTGGAACTGGTTGGCTGGCAGCTCGGACCTCGCAAGATGCTGGAAAGGCAGAAAATTATGTCTGAAAAAATTTAAGATCCTGGTGATTAAGGAAGGAGAGTCCTAAGATGGAAGATAGAGGTTTTTTTTTTTTTTTTTTTTTTTTTTTTTTTTTTTTGAGGGGGCTGGAAGAGGGAAATTCCCAGGGGTTCCCGAGATTAGAAATGATAAGGGAAGAATTAAATGATACTTATTCTGGACGAGTCTGGTCCATTTAGATAGATCCAATTGGCTCCTGGAGCTTATGAAAAAAATGTTTGAAAAGAAATAAATTTTAGACATATTAAAAGCTTGTGATTATGATGGTAGTGTTGGAATAGAAGTTGGTGGGGAGGAGGGAGGATAAGAAGGGGGAATTATTAAAAAGGTGAATTATTAGACCCCTCAATATTTTACCTGAATCAGATCTTAAGGCACTTGTTCTCTTTAGCATCATGGTATTACCTTAACATCCAGGAGACACTGCTGCAGTCAGTGATGAACCTGTTATGTTAAAGTCTATTTTGTGAGTTTTTGGAGTCTGGAGCCATGAATGTCCCCAAACTCTTTATTGTTCCTTTCCACCTGGGCTTTTGGCAATCCTTATACCTCTGGCTCTATGTTTAATGATGGTCCCTGTAATAACAGCTGAGTGGCTAACTGGAAATTTAAGTATACATTGAAGATACAGAGAAGTTGGTAAAGCAGATAGGAGAAAGAGGAAGAGAGAGAGTATATGAAGTTTTCGGCACAGGAGAGTTGAGTACGGTGATGAGATTTTATCTTTCTGGAACTGGAGACAGAGTGGCTAATCTTGGTGCCCTCTGGGACTTAAGGGAGCAGGGCTCTGATTGAGTTGCCATATATGAGGGGGAATCTTGAGCCTGAGGAGTGAAAGGTTTAAGGTGGGACAGGTGGATCCAGTGAGAGTCCCTTGAGCTTGGCAGCTGTGGGAGTTACAAGAATTACTTTAAAGGGGCCCTGCCATTTAGAGGAAAGGGGTGAGGGGCTTTGGTCTGGGGGAGAGAAAAGTATCTGATCTCCTATTTTAATCAGCAGTGGGCATGAATTAGCACATGGTTGAGGTAATGAGTAGTTGGTAAAATCCCATAATAGTGAGCGAAGATGAGATAACAGTGGAGTAAGCAGGTGATCAGGAAGGGGAGAGGTTTTAGGTGAGAGGCTGGGGGGCTAAAACCGGCCGTCCAT